CTAAGCTGTCTAAGGTGTAGGTTAAACGCGCAACTGTCCTTATTATTAGTTAATTATTATGTAAGGACAAAGCTCTGCACTGCTCTGCTAATACAACTAAAAGGTACAAATAATTAACCAACGTTAATTTTTAGGTGCAGAATAGTATATATACTTGTCGCACGTAAGCGCCATCTCAGCCTTACAGTAAGCACCATCTCGGCCTTACACGTAAGCGCCATCCTAGCCTTACATATAGCATTTAAAATAATAACATGTATAACTTTAGTAAGATAGGCTTTATTATAAGCTAAATATTTATTAACTATACTTACACTTAAAACTTTACTTTAAGCTTTAAATAACACTTTATAAACATACTAGGCTAGTTTATGCTAATATAGCTTAGATTATACTTAGCGCGTAAAGAATTAGCTATATTAGCTATAAATGCTATCTAAAGGGAAAATTCTTACGCATAAAGCTTAAGTATAGTCTTAATAATTACCTACTTTTTTTTATTACCTAGCCTTTATAAGTTAGCTGTAGAATTAGCTTATAAAAGTTGTTTAGCGCTATAGTTATTTATTATCTATTAAAAGACTTTATATATAGCTATAGTATATTTCTTTAAGAGTTTTATATCTTATTTAAAATCTTAAAGTGTAAGCTATATCTAACATTGTTTTAGCACATCTAAGTAGTGTTATTAGAAATGCATTAGTGTAGAAAAAGTAGTTTAGTAAGGTCTTAGTAAAAGTAAGCAACTTAGGTGTGTAAGCAACTCGCTTGTAAAGTACGTTAATACTAAAGAAGATAATAATAGTAAAAGTAATAACTTAGTAGAAAATATTATGCTATAAGTAGTAGCTAAGAAGGGTTGTAATTTTCTCTACTTTTTAAGCTTATGTTAAGCTCTCTTTTACACGTAAAATTAAGCTTTAGAGGGGGCTAATGTAATAGCATGTACTGCGTCACATGCTCTGCAGCTCAGCTCCCTTGCTTGCACAATAAGTAGCGCCTTAGCAGAGAGCACACATGTATATCTCAAACTTTTAGAGTAGCTCCTCTGCTCCTTAGTTGAATCTAGTTAGGTTGCACCACCTCTTGCTTGTAGCTTAAGCATGCTAATTGTAACACTAGGTATAAGTTTTATAACATAGGTCTAAGGTTTATATTTTAGCTGTGTCTCTTAATATAACTTGTTAGAAGTTGCTATCCTCTTTTAGTATTAGTTTTTTTAATGTGCTATATATTTAAACAAATTTATAATCTTCTTTATTAATATCTTATAACATGCTTAACTAGTATTTTTAATTTCTTACTAATGTAGTTTTTAGTTTTACCTCTTTTACTTAAAATAACATTTTACTAAGTTAAGACTTTTTAAAAAGTTTTTAAATATCTACTTTATTATTTAATTAATACTAAAGTTATGTTCCTTTCGCTAGTTTTTTTTTAAAGGGGCTATGCTTACTGCTTACTTAGTATCTTTTATATTCTATACTTATAATTTCTCTAGCTGTGTTTCTAGCTAGATCTACTTATCTTTATATATAGTACTAGAACTGTCTACTTGCTTATGTCAGATATGCGCACCTACTGTCAAGACAGGAGGAACGCTTGACGAAAGCTGCTACATAGTACGAGCAATAAGCTTGAACAGTATGTTGCAGCAAATTGCAGCATGTTGCAAGCTGGTCGCGCATAGGGCAAGTGCGCGAGGGACTCGGATCGGCAAAACAAAAAGCCGAGCAACACAAGTAGAGCAGAAAAAGGATCAATAAATTAATACAATCAATCATTATCCCATACATCATATCCAAACCCATCATTCATCTTAGGAAGCCTAGAAACAGTGCTTTAATCTAACAGCTTAACTTTAAATAGATTACTTTTTATTTTATATAATATATTATTCTTTTTTACTTATTTAGCGCTAATTAAAGTTATTAAACATTTACTATTAACTATCGCTTTTAGTTCTTTACTTGCGTACATAGGTTTTATTATTAAAAGAGATAATAACAAGGCTGTAGCTACTAATATGTTAACTTTATGCTAATGTATAGAGCATTTATTATCCTTACAAGCCTCTAGTCTTATGTATAAATGTTCTAGTAACTTTGCAAACGTTGTCTATAATTTCTACTAATAGTAGTAGAAATTACACCTCTTTACTTTATAGTTTTAGTACAGTTTTTGTTTATGTAGTTAGGCTATTACATATACTCTATAATCTAGCATCCTGTAAAACGCTTTAGTTAATAGAGGATTTTGTTTACTATTTAGTTTTATTAGCTACTATTCTACTTAGTGCTTATTATTTTAATGTACTCTATATATCTTATTAGTACATTAGTACTATTAGTTAGTGCACTGCGTTTTTCTGTTCGTTGTATAAAATTATGTCTATAGTAGAAAGTTACTTTTCTCTTCTACTACCTATACTGCGTGTATCTTGTACTTGCATTTGCCTACAAGGTGTCTATAAAATCTGCTTATTACACACTATTACACTTCTGTTTATTTCTATATAGTAAGTCTTGCTAATATAAATAGTAGTAGAGAAGTTCTTTTTCTTTTTCTTTTTTTATATTTTAGTCTTTTATTCTAGACTAGTAGTAGTTTCTTATACATTTTTATTATAATATTAAAGAATACTTTTTCTTTAGTGCTAGTTATAGTCTAAAGTTTCTAAGAGCTGCTTTTTAAATAAACTTCTAAACTTTATATATTTTCTATGCTTTTATATTATAGTAGTTAAATGTACATTATATTAGTGTATGTTATAGTAACCTATATAGCTAAAACTTGGCTTAATTTACTCTTACTTAAAGTTCTTCTACTATGCTTTCTTTATATTATACTTTTATTTAAAAAAATTTATGTCTTTAGTAGATATTATATAAAATACTACAATAGCTTATAAATAATCTATAAAAGCAGAGCTTGCTTAGAGTTGTAACAGCGCGTACCGCGTCACATGCTCTGCAGCTTCAGCTCTCTCGCTTGCGCAACGAGTAGCGCCTTAGCAGAGGGCACACATGTCTATCTTAAACTTGCAGAGCAGCTCCTCCACTCCTTAGTTTAATCTAGTTAGGCTACACCACCTCTTGCTTGTAGCTTGAGCATGCCGATCGTGACAAGAGTAATAGGTAGCGCATTAAGGTAGATTGTTTAGGTTAAAGAATAGTTACAGCATAATGTGTAACAAAGTAGTATTAGATAGATAATAGACATATAACAATAACATTAAACTACAGCACGCAACTAATCACATCCCGCAACTAAGTGTAGCTAATACTAATCTCTAACATACTAATGTAGCTAATGTTAATTTCTAACACACGAATATAGCTAATGCTAATCCCTAACATACTAATATAGCTAAAAGAATAGAATAAACGTAACTAACTATAATTTAAACATGTTGTACACAACACATGCTAGAGCAAACTGCGTGTAAATTAATACAAAAGCGCACTTATATTAAGTATACATTTTCTTTAAAAAAAGAATGTAAGAAATATATAAAGTAATAAAAAATAGTGTTACTAAAGTTTATTTAAAAAATTATAACTAACTAGTGTGTTTAAAAGAGAAGATTCTACTTAACTTTTTATTCTATATACTTAAATATATTAAGTAGAGTAAGCTTTACTAATAACTTACTTTATTTTTAGTAATACTATAAAGCTAATAAAAGTATTACTATTTATATACTTTTTTTATTACACTTTTCATAGCTACTTAAAATAGGTTGTTTTACTTTTTTAAAGAAAGTATATAGGTGCTAAGCTAAAAACTTTACATATAACTAAATTACTTATTATAAAATAAGCTTACAAGTAAAGCAAAACTAAAAACTAAATAATAGCTAGCTAATTCTTAGCTCTAATTAGGTTAGTAAAATTCTCTTTTTAAAAACTTAAAGTTTATCTAAATTTAAGATTAGTTACTAAGAAATTAGTTAATTGTTAGCTGTAATTAAAGGAATTCTTTAAACTGCTGTTATAGATCCCTTAACTGTTTTGCTTACACAACCGCTAGTTTCGCTTCTTCAACTGCTGTTTAAATGTAATACGCTAATGCCAAGAGGTATTAGTAAGAGATTACATAGCAGTGTTAGGAAATGCATAAAGTAAATTGCCGTAAATTGAAGCAAACTACAGCAAATTGCGGTAAACTATAGCAAATTGCAGCAAACTACAGTAGATTACAGCAGCAGGCAGCAATTCCTAGTAGATATTAGTTGTGTTGCAAGTAGCTCTACGTATAGAGAGGGTTCTAGAGGGGTAATGCCTCTAGAAAAAAAGCTTTAAAAAGAGCAGCAATAATTGCGCATAAGCTAGTGTTAGCGTAATAGGAAATTACTAAGCTTTAGGCAGCTAATAAAGCAGCTACATTTAGAGAGGCCTGCGCTTAACAGCTTTAAAGGAGTTTAGGGCGCGTAGTGACAAGAAGAAAGCAAAGAAGCAGGTGTAAGCTGAAGTAGGTGAGCTCTTCTAAAGACGCTGCGGACAGTGCAATTAGACTAGGCATAACGCGCAAACGTGTAAGCAAGAAGTAGAAGTAGTATCTAAATAATATTCTAGGCTGTACTATACTATATAGTGCTAGAGCGGGTTGTTATAGGCTACAACGTACTCTCTAGGCGAGTTGCTCACACACCTAAGTTGCTTACTTTTGCTAAGACCCTACTAAACTACTCTTTCTACACTAATGCATTTCTAACAACACTACTTAGACGCGCTAAAAGAATATTAGATACAGCTTACACTCTAGGCTTTTAAATAAGACGTAATACACTTAAAGCAACATGCTACAGATATTTACAGAGTCTCTTAAAAGATAATAAATAACTAACACGCTAGACAACCTGTACAAGCTAATTCTATAGCTAACTTATAAAAGCTAGGCAATAACAAGAAGCGAGTTATTGTTAAGCACATACTTAAGCTATATACACAAGGATTTGTTACAATTCTTGCTCGTGGGATCCTATTGTAGAGGATGCCTTAAGCACGCGGGCCGATGTTGGATTGAGAGGGTTGTAGGGGAGCCTGCCTCGGGTGTACAGTCATTGGTATGACTCGGTAGAAGGACGGGAGATGGTGGCCGAATCGTGGTTTGCCCTTAGACGGCGGTATGGGCGCTGGGTCAAACGGTCCCAAGGGGCAGAAGTGGAGGTATATATGGTGCAAGATATACAACTAGTATTATAGCTCGTTAGAAAGCTAGAATGCTACTTAGTCTATGTAAAGATAAACTAAACTTTGATCACACCCCTCTAGGGTTGATTAGCAGGGCCTTTTTATGCCTTTCTTGTCCCTGCAACAATTGCAGCCTTGGCCTGCCAAGCGTTGCGATCACTGCGATCCTTATCTCAGCTAGCTCAGACGTGAGGAGAGAACCGAGGACGCACAAACCATGCATATTGCTACTCTAAATAGAGTATGGCCTAGGGGTTAGCAGTTTCTAACCCCTGTTAGTAGCGTTTCTCTCCTCAGCTGTCTAAGGGACTTTTGTGATTTTTTCTATAAATAGGCCTATTTTAAGAGCATTACAATAGAATTAGATTTATAATATCTCTACTACTATATGTCTAAATAGGCTTAGAATTTAATAAAATGTAGAGACAAGCTGTAGCTATAAAATAGTATATTTTTTACTAAATCTTAACTATTATTAGTGTGACAGCGTGTACCGCCTTACATGCTCTGCGGCATCAGCTCCCTCGCTTGCGCAACGAGTAGCACGCTAGTGCTCCGAGTAGCGCCTTGGCAGGGGGCACACATGTATATTTAAACTCGCAGAGCAGCTCCTCTGCTCCTTAGTTTAATCTAGTTGAGTTACACCACCTCTTGCTTGTAGCTTGAGCATGCCGACCGTGACAATTAGCAGAGAAAAATCTAAACGCGCGCAGAACTTTAACCTATCTATACACTAATTTTAGATTTATAGTATTGCCCTCCTAACTAAAACTTAACAACTAGTAGACTAAATTCCCTAGGATTTTGCAAGATCCTTGACAGAGCTAGTCTAAGACAGCTCCTAGATCCTTAGAGTCCTTAGACAACAGCTAGTTAAGCTGCAGACATAAGGACAATCGCAACGTCCCTAGACTACCATCTACTAGACTACAGCTTAACAACTAGCAGACTAAATCTCCTAGAATTTTGCAGGCTCCCTGACAGAGCTAGTCTAAGACAGCTTCTAGATCCTTAGAGTCCTTAGAGTCCTTAGACAACAGCTAGTTAAGCTGCAGACATAAGAGTAATTGTAATGTCCCTAGCCTACTATCTAGCTTAACAACTAGCAGCCTAGATCTCCTAAAATTTTGCAGGCTCCCTAATAGAGCTAGTCTAAGACAGCTCCTAGATCCTTAAAGTCCTTAGAGTCCTTAGACAACAGCTAGTTAAGCTGCAAACATAAGAGCAATTATAATGTCTCTAGCCTACTATCTAGCTTAACAACTAGTAGCCTAGATCTCCTAAAATTTTGCAGGCTCTCTAATAAAGCCTATCTTAGACAGGTCTTAAATTTTAAAGATAATATATTATGTAGTTAGAAAGTTGCATTAAGGTGTAGTTATAAAGTTATTAAAATGTCCTGTGTAGGACTTAATAGCGCAATACTCTGCTAAATCTTGTTAGAATTAAGTTACAAAAATGTTAGAATATAGCTAGAGACTGTCTCTATTACTTATTAAAATCTAACCTAGTTTAGATAAAAAGTGGTAGAGCTACAGTAATTCTTAGTTAAGCTAGTGCATAGTAGAGGAGGTTTAGAACTACAATATTACCTAAAAAATTACAAAAGTCCCTTAGACAGCTAGGGAGAGAAAGCCTTTCTTATACCCTTATTAGCTAGAGAGATGGGGCTTGCGCCACTAAGGCTACTAGCAGGGGCTTGCCCCTGTCAAGGCTCTCTCCCCATCCCGTCTGAGCTTGCTGAGATAATGCGATCCATCGTGTAGTGATCGCAGTCTTGGCTTGCCAAGGCTTGCAATCACCGCGATCCATCGTGCAGTGATCTCATTGGGCGATGCAGTCCTCGTACGGTTTCCCACCCAAGTCGCGGTCTCCCCCAGTCGGCTCTGCCCGTTCGAGCATAAAGGGGTTCCATGCTTGGTCGTCTAGGTGGTGGGGCACATTACCCGGTTTTTGATTGGTCCACCGTGGACCGTAACGGGATTTTCTTAGCTAGTAGCTGTAGGTAATATAGCTAATTCTTTCCGCGCTAAGTGTAATCTAGGCTATGTTTGTAACGATTCTCATGAATCGTTCCATCTCGGAACCTCCGGAAGGTCATTGTATCAGCTCCGACCCTAACCTGGCCCCGACTCTGCCCGGCCCCCTGCTGTACCCCTATTCCTCTATGTATTTAGTTGCACCTCGCCCCTGTAGCTAGCTTAGTAGTTTTCTAATATCCTCTGTACAAAGCCTATAGGTGTCAATAGCATTCCTAAGTTCTACGTCCCCACGCACTCCTATATGCCTCTAAGTGGATTTCTACCGCATTTAGACCTATTGTCTTGCCTGTACTGTTATATTATATTAGAAAACTTACTTTTGCTAGTAACAGCCTTATTAATAATATTACATTAATTATTTATTTAACTATGTCTAACTTTAAGAAGTGTTTAATTTAGTTTAGGTTATAGTTCTTACATGCTATTACATTAAATTATTTAGTTATTATAGATAGGATTTTAAAGACCTTTTATTAACTAAAGCCTTTAAGTTTAAAACTTTTTATTTTTTATAATTAAAATTACCATTAGAAAAGTTGTAAAAAGTGCGCTAAAGTAAAAACCTAAAGACTACTAATAACTTAGTAAGATTAAAGATAACTACTAATGTCTAACTAACTACTCTCTAATTCTAGAGTTAAATATGCTTTTACTAAGCTATACTCTACCTAATTTAGAGTTAATCTGCAGTAACATGTCTTAATAGACCTTAATTAACTACTAAATTACTTCTAATAATACCTTAAATTATCTCTACTACTCTAATAGTAAAGGACCTTTTAGGCACCTCTAATAATACTTAAATGTTACCTTACTAAACACACACCTAAGATTAATAACTGCATAGATAGCAATAAACAAAAGTCTTAATTATTAACAAGCTAGATATCTATACAGATTAATATTAGAGTAGGCGTGCACGCATAGTGTTTAGTTTAGAGGACAATGCTAGCAGTGTAAAGAAATACTTAGTAAGAACACCTAGCTAAATTAGACTAGTTTTAGTTTAAAAAAGTAAAGAACATAATAGTAAGAGTTTATACTATAATTACTACTAATAAGGACTATTAGTCTATAGAGGGGGGAGTAGTGTAATAATTCTTATAAATTATTCTATCTTAGGTTGCCTAGAACCTCTAGAAGACCCTTATATTAGCCCTAACCTTAACCTAGCCCTAACTCTGCCTGGCCCCCTGCTATACCCCTATTCTTCTATGTATTTAGTTGCACCTTGCCCCTGTAGCTAGCTTAGTAGTTTTCTAATATCCTCTGTACAAGGCCTATAGGTGTTAATGGCATTCCCAGGTTCTGAGTCCCCACGCACTCCCATATGCCTCTGAGTGGATTCCCACCGCATTCGGACCCATTGTCTTGCCTGTGCCGTTACAACTAGCGCGTCTAAAAGAGGAGATTCTGCTCAACTTTTTATTCCGCAAACCTGAATATAATAAGCAGAGCAAGCTCTGCTAATAAACTTTGTAAAAGAGTAATACAGTCTGTACTACGTACTGTACTTAGAGCATCATTAAATGTAAAGTACAGCCCACGAACTCAATACGTTTGTACGGATCACGTGACCGTTACGGCTCACTTTGTACAGACCGTAGTACGGCCCGTTGCAAGCCCTGAATCCAACTGGCACTAAATTTCGCCCGGAACACAATTATTCGTCTTGCCATCAAGAATATAGGCCATTGCTACCTTGGTAAGTCGTCGGGAGCGGGTGCATGGCATGGAGCGTATGGATGCACAACGTAAAGGATATCGAATTCTTCCGGGAATTTAAAACTGGAAACTACTTGGGGAAGCAATGAAACGCGGTGCAGGTGTTACGGTGAGTGAGTTATATGAGGCAGCTGAGCCACATGGTGTCATTTCACAAGTGGAATTTCTCCTGTAAGACACCAAATTTATTTTGCAATAGCGCAGCCATTAATAGATATGTAGAGCGTCAGGTACGTAGGATGCCATCTTCAAGGAGGAGGCCACACTCCGTTATCCGGCTACTACGGGATGGCTGCCACCATGCACTGACCTTCAAAGTCGTCACTGCGGATGGTCATTTCGTTACTGCGTCGGAAACCTCATATCCTGACCTCTTCTGGACTCTCCACGGAGGTGGTAGCGGTATGTACAGCGCAGTATCCTCTCCCATAATTCGAGTGCGCCCGAATATGCCAGTGACTCTATCAAACTTCGCCTTGGAAACACGACATTTGCCACTGCGAGTAGGGAAATATTCTGGCTAGGAGTGAGGAAATACTTCGAGAGCTCCATCATGTACACTAATGCTGGCTTCTACTCGTTTTTCTTTGCCCTCAACAGCGGAGGCCAGCTTACTCTCAGAATCAATGGCCTCTTTGCTCCAAATCATACCATCGAGTCCCTTAACAAGATTACAAAGCCATGGATGAATAGGCTCAAGGAACCGGCAGTTCTGTTGAAGATGGAACAAAATACGGCATACTTCTTTCCGGGGTATATGGATGCATGGGGCTCCCACCTCTTCCCTGTTAGGAAAGCGCATTCCCTCCTAGGTAACCGACTACTATCACGGCGTAGCTTCATGGATCTCACGAGATCCAACGCAACATTCAACGTCATGAAGACTCATGTGGAGGTGGAGCGTCATTTGGGCGTGACCATCAAGCTCCTCGAAACCGCGCTAATGCTGATGCGGTGAATCCAGGGTGGCGGAAGGCCGTGTGCTTTCTCATCACCTCGTCAGCCAGGTTCGCGGGTGGGAAATATCACCGCAGCGGAGATGAAGATCGCATCGGATGAGCTAACGAATAATATCCTTCCGCCGTGGCGTGAAGTTGCGCCAGCAGGTGAAGGCGGAGGCTCGTATCCGAATGAGGCTCAAATCACGGAGCCAAATTGGCAGGACGGTTTTTATGGTAGCCATTACACGAGGTTGCTGAAGATCAAAAGGAAGTATGATCCAGGAGACCTGTTCTATGCCACACCAACTGTTGGAAGTAAGGGGTGGAAAGTAAAGGACGGAGAATAGGGAGTGCAGACTTAAAATGGACGGCCTTGTCGTTCAGAAAAAGCGTGATAAATTCAAAGCCTCCCAAAAAGATAAAGATTACAAGATAAAGGGTATAACAGTACATGAAATATGGGAAGTCGTGGGTCATTGATCATCATAAGGAGCTGCGGTCCATATGGGACTATCCAATCTGCTCCTGTGGTGTCCAGCGCCACGGTCATCCTCGATGTTCATTGACCACGACAACATGCAGCTCAAGGAGCAACCAGGAGTGCCTTCGCGAGTGCCAAATATCTTCGAAACCCTGTTGGGTTACTTATACCAGATGGATGACTTGGCTCACAACACCGACCCATATAACCACCACCCACAGTGTCTTGCTTATGCGTGTGTGTGACGACGTAGATGTGCTAGCATTGAAGCAAAGGAAGGTTGGATGTTCCGGACTCCAGTGTAGCTTGGAATACAAGCAACTTTCAACAGTGTCGATGGCCGTCGTGTTGCAGTATTGGTAGCATGTCGACTTCCCAGGTGTGCCATAAGAGATAATGCTATTGACTTCACCGTTGCAGCATGAATCGAGGATAGTGGAATTGTCGCCCCCTATAGGTACTGCGCAGGATGGGCTGAGTGTTGGGGGCTGGGGTGGCGGGCCGTGAATTGTGCATGAATTGTTTGCCATTTAGATGCGTAGGAAGGTGGATTGATCGGTGAGGCCACAATTAACCTTAGAAAGAGAACTCAGAATTGAAAGAAGACTAAAAACGGACAGAGGGCAACAAAAATGAGTTGGAGCCAAAGTATTATTGAGAGATCGGAGGGTGAGCACACTTAAAAGCGGATATGGTCGAGGTTGTGGGCGGGCGGAAGATCTAGAGATCTGGGGAGGTGATCGGATGGATTCAATCTATGACCATGAATAAGGCACGTCCTCTCACATTAGATAACCGACAGAGCTTTTCCATAAGAATAGCATTGGTCACAATAATAGATTCGTTGCGTTGTTCGAAGGTTTCCTTAGGCGCCTCTTGGCGCCGGAAAGTGGCTGCGCCACACAAACGACTGGGTCTCGGCACTGCAAACATACGCGCCGGGATCTTGCAAAGCCAGGCGCTGCAACGGATAAGCACGTCCCGAGATGTTTGAAACAAGATCTGGCGAATTTGATCCGCGATATCTGAGCGTTAGTGCTAGCAGCGGAAATCTATCGAGGGGCATCCCCGTCACGTGCATTCTGTAAGGCAGTCTGAAGCAACTGAGCTCAGTTCAAATGTTGTGCAATGGGTTGTTGCGTCCTAATCGTGGGCTAGCGTGGTGTCTAGTACGTTGGATTCGGTTTAAGGGATCTAAGGATTGCAATATTAGCAGCTCCAGTAATGGACTTGCACGAAAGGCTGTGGAGGGGTTGAGACCGCGGGGACATCTGCACTCTTCCATTGGAAGAGAATTGCTCGCGCCATTAGGTCCAGTGATCACAGGATTATTTTACAATCCACCAATTCTGCGGGTCTTTGGAACGCGAATTATTGTGTTTGGCAGTATCGTACCAAGTAACTTGTGATCATCCCCGTTCAAAAATACCTTTCGAAATTATCATTCCAGAGCGGAGGCCGTATTAGAGCGTGAAGAAGGGCAGAGCGGGCTTGTCCCTTCCACACTCAACTTCGATCGGGAGCTACTCACTCAGTAAGAAATTACTTGCAGGCCGAAGCGTGCAGATGTGCTACAGGGTTTGCGAATCAAAACGCGGACAGTGGCAAATAATGAACCTCATCCTCCCGGCCCATTACCGTTGAGGCGGTTATCCAATGCATCTAAGCATCTAAAAATACGAAGGCCGGCGCAATGCAGAGTCCTGTCTCGTGGTGATTTTCTCGATTAGATTCAATTCGCGGTCGTCCCATAACGTCCACGAGTATCGAAAAGAGGAAGCATTTCTAACGCTATAGGCACTCGCCGCCGACCCACTCTACCGAGCTTTGGTATTTTATACAGGTTTTCGGTAAGGGCTCAAAGGCTGTGGTCTTGTTTGCTCGCGGAGCCTGTGTTTCTGAATACTGCAGAGAATCCGTCCGAGCGACCGTGATGGGTTGGCTTGCTCTCCACAAAACGTACTTGGGGTTTGTTAATGCGTTGAGATACCAAGCATCCAGTGAGACGAGATCGAAGAGGTGTCCCGGTTGCGGTGGAGGCTAACACACAAGGTCAGGTCATGACGTGGGCTCCCTAGGACCCATTTTGGTCCATCGGGGTAACTTTTCTACGTTCGTTGGCTCTGTCTTGGGAAAACCCCCAGCGCCGGGCCGCCGCTTACCCATGAGAGCAATCATGGGATTCACCAACAGGTGGATCGGTTGAGGTCTCACAGAGGCGGCTAAGATTCGAGCAATACCGGTGGTTCATGCACTAAATCAACGCAGATTCGGGTTTAGTTGGATATCCTTAAGCGCTCCGAAGTCTGAGAAGGGTCCCTCCCAGGGGCAAACAAAGATTCGCGATCTTCGAGGGGCTCTAAGACGCCACTCCTGGCAACATCCGTATGAAGCCGGGGCAGGCTGTAAACCACGCTGGCCTTTGGTCTTAGCCGCGACATTCTAGACTTTGCAAGGCTTTACGGTAAGGCATACCCATCATACTTAGTGAGAGAAATGCGCCTTGGCAGACGGGCTTCCACAAAGACCTGCGTCGGCGGCAATGAGAACGGGGAACGGATCTTCTTCAAACAGGGAGGTAGCTAGGCGTTTGGGCGAAACCACTGCTCTTGTGTAAGCAATAGATCAAGGTGTGAAGAGGGAGAGGTTCTGACGTCTGGCTCGGCGTTAGATTGTTCGTATCAAGTACCTATGGACAATTACGCCTGGCTCTGCATTACACGACGTTTGATTCTCATTTTTCCGCGGACCCTCAGTAAGATAATGCAGTTTAAATTGGGCTGTTGATGGGTGGAAGCAGTCGTAGGAACGAAGGCCTCAAAAATGCTTTCCTCTTTCCCCTGAGTGCGATACGATGAGTCAGGTGGCCTACCTAGATCCTGGCGTTCCCGAGGTTCTTCCGTGCTTCCTTTGAGCATGCCTGTCCCCCGCCCCCTCAACAGCGTCAACGGTTTCGCGCAACGTCACTAACGTGCGATTCTGGCAATTCTGACAAACAAGTAACATGCCACTTGAATGGATCCCCCATTGCGACATCCAGTGTTCGAATTGACTTAAAGCTGGAAACTAGCAGAGATTTCCCGACGACGCTCCATGCCGACGCTAGGTCAACGAGCCTCTCAATTGCGAGAACGTCCCGAAACTAAACTCAGTAGGTGTCACGTGTCAGGTTTGGAATATAATCTTTTTTTTTAACTCGATGTGGCCGGCTGTAGGCGGACTCAAAGGCGCAGGAGAATAGTGCATATGATCAAGCCACGAGCGGCAATGGATTATGTAACTCTTTTATGTCTGCGCAGACGATTTACTCTTTTATTCCAAAACTGAAACTATCAATGACAAGCGAGTGGATGTCCATTCATTTTTTTTTCCAGCCAAAATCACCTCTTTCCCGACTACCAAGGCAAGACCGAAGTGTCCCCACATCACCTATTGCTTACTGCTCGTAGAAACATTAGCATCGTACAATACGGGCATTTCTTCTGGGAGTATACTCACAGGCTGGCAGTAGTAGATAGTCTTGCACGAGAAGCCAGTCCCGGACCACATAACGTGCTTGTCATCCTTGCGACAAGTGAATCCATGGAAATCGTTGAACGCCGTGCCGACGATGGAGTAATCGGCCTGACCTTGAGCACCAGCAACGATGTTGCTAGTGAAGGTGACTCCGCTCGCGGGGAATGTGCAACTGATAGTTCGTCCTTCCCAAGTGACGAAGCTGTTCTGCTTGACGATACATTGAGCGTCTGGAGCACCTTGAGCATTATGTCCTGCGTTGTAGTAGAACATGTAAGACCCAAAGGAACTGGAGGGGTCGCAGTTGGCAAGAATCATAGTTTCGGGTGGTGCGCGCTTGGTGAACGCCTTAGCGGAAGGGGCAGCTGGGGCATTGTCGACCACCACAATGGTGGAGTTGCCTTCAAAAGAGGGGGCTTGCTGAAGAGCGAGTGAAGAAATAAAGAGGGCAGAGAAGCCTGCGAAGGAAGCGAACTTCATTGTCGGTGTGAGAACTGAAGGGGCAAGTCTTTGAATTGATACTGTTGTTGAAAGAGGAGATGAAACGAATTGGTCTTGCAGAGAGGGTATGGTTTTATACTCATCTTGAATGCGAAAGTACTGCTATTCCGACCGTACCAGAAGAGCGCCGAGAAGATCAGTCGGATGCGTTCAAGGACATGTACATGGAGAGAACTCTCTTACTTCCGGATCAGGTTTTTGTTAATGTCTACATCTCTGCACTTTCGTTCGTGGACTTCCATATTTGGATAACGGATCTAACACGTGCGTCGCTACGCAGCAGTGTCACCAAGCAGTTCTTCGCGGGGACGGTGTGGTGTTGCTTATTCAACTTTTCCTCAACTCACTAACACGAGCTGGAGCCTCGTCAGCCTTTCAGTAATGAACATTGAGACCACGAAGCTGGTAGGCTAGTGCGAATGCGATCAAATACGAATTGCTTGCCCTTGGCCATGAAGGCAGGCGTTACCATTTCTCACGACGATTGGAAGCGTGCTCGTGTTGTTGAGTTTTTCGGGTCATGCATGTGTCAGCAATGAAGCTGAGAGAGAGAATTTATGCCCAGGTAAGACGCCTCTCGATTTATTGAATGCTCACGCTGCAGCGGTGATGCTCCCATGCTGTGACGAAAGCCCAACGGCATCAAATCAGCCAAGACGGCCTACTAAACTCACTTTTACGAACAGCCTAAAATTTGAATGCTACAAAAAATACTAAAAAGTGTGAAAAATAAACGCGAGTGTGTAACGTACCTTACGGGCGAGTTGGCCAGACAGGCGAGTTGGCCACTCCGCACCAAAACTGCACCCTATTCTAGCCTATATTAGCACTATTTAGTCCTATAAGGTATAATATTGCATTGTATACTATTCTAGTACTACATCTACCTTTTTCTTACACATAGGTTAGTTATCTTCTGCCTTATAGCACTATTTACAATGTCTTATACCGGATTTTCTCCAAGTTGTCACGAGTACCACTACCCGGAACTTCATCTAATGCGATTGAATCCAGGTCTCCCTTGCTGTCTTGTTCCCTGCTTCTCCCACTCGCCCTCTTTCCCTATCCGGTCTTACACTATCATTCTGTCATCACTACAACATCTATAACACAACCTGGGCTAAACCAACAGCGCCCACCACAGCCCCAATCAAACCCTCATGCACTCCCATCCCACTACCAGCCCCCGTCCCAACCGTCGAACTCGGGCTCGGACTCCCTGACCCACTCGCCGGGAGGGTCACACCGTTTGTCCCACCAGCCCCACCGCTGGCACTTGGACTCGAACTCGAACTCGCGCTTGCGGCCGGCGCGCCCGTAACCACCGCCGAGCTACTTCCAGCCGACTCTGTCGGTGTTGTGACAACGGTGCTCGGAAGCACGTACACCCCGCTCTTGGTATCGAAGGTCAATATGGGGGCTACGCTCTCGGTGGGCGTGGATGGCGAGGAGTCGTCTTGAAGCCCGTACGCGGCTGTGAGGACGCAGAGGGCGAGGGGAAGGAGGGCGCGCATTGTCAATTTGGTGTGAGATGGATCAGGGTTCGCCTACGGATCCGTAGATGCGTGGAAGATGGGATGGTTGGCAGGAGGGTGGAGTTGTTGAATCACTGGAGGAGTGACTCGATAGGTGATCGTCGGTTTTGTGGTGGGTGGAAGGAAGGATGGAGTGTGTGAAAGATCGTCAGTGCCTCCCTCTGCAAAATTATCTGTACACGTGAGCGACTGTGTTAGGCTAGCAAATATAGCTGAAACTACGATTAATGCTCTCCTAAGCTCGTAAGGTGAAGGCGGATAAGTGTTATACGGGCTGGGACGCCTCTCGATAATTCCTCGCATAACCCGGGACCTGGTAACAGCACGTTTTGTGTTGCCCCACAAGGTGGCTGCAGTTGAGAAAGAAGAAACCCATTCTATTTAATTCACCTTAGAATTAAACAAGAACGAGAGGTGGCCGGCCTGTTGCTGGATCACGATAGGTACAGTGGAGAACTTGTCCAGATCAGATTAGATTAGATCATATCATGGCCTGTGCTTAGCATCTCCTGTTCCGCGTCCACAAGCCAACATCTGTGCGTTGAATGTTCTGAAAAACTTACAGCCATTTGTAAGGAGGTTGCTAACAAACTTTACGTCCCTTATTTAGCTTACTACAATGCTAAAGACACTAAACTAGCTATTAACATACAAGAAGCATATGTTATAAAGAAGTATATATGTGACGGCGCGTACTGCGTCACATGCTCTGCGGCTCAGCTCCCTCGCTTGCGCAACGAGTAGCGCCTTGGCAAGAGGCACACATGTATATCTTAAACTCGCAGAGCAGCTCCTCTGCTCCTTAGTTTAATCTAGTTGGGTTACACCACCTCTTGCTTGTAGCTTGAGCATGCTAATTGTTACGATTTCCACTTACTAGTATTTCTAAAGTTTAATACTTTAAATTATAAGGTCTAGATTTATACACTTATAGTTGTAAGTCTTTAGTTCTAAGCTAATTACATAAGAGCTTACTTAAGAGCTGTTATTTTACTATTTATAGCCCTTAGTTCTTTTAGTTTATTCTATATAGTGTTTATTTACTTTATAAGAGCTTTTTTATTTAGTAATAGATTTTTACTTATACTTATAAGAGGCGCGCTAATTATCTTTAAGTTAGTAGTGCTTCTTCTAGAATTTATACTTTATTAGAGAAGGGTAGTAATTAATGTTACAATTTTTGCTTATAGAGTTCTTATTAGAGGATGCCTTAAGCACACAGGCTAATGTTAGGTAAAGAGGGTTAGAGGGAGCCTGTCTTAGGTGTACAGTCCTTAGTATAACTCTAGGTAAGAATAGGAGATAAGTAGCTAAATTATAGTTTACTCTTAAACAGCAGTATAAGACGCTAGGTTAAACAGTCCTAGGGACAGAAGTAGAGGTATATATAGTACAAGATATACAACTAGTATTGCAGCTTATTAAAAAGCTAGAATACTACTTAGTCTATATAAAAATAAACTAAACTTTAATTACACTTTTTAAAGGTTAATTAAACATAGTCTTATATATATAGCTACGCTTACTATTCCTGTAGCCCTTAGCCTTGCCTACTCTTTAGGTGCAGCTGTTGTCCTGTCTAGCTGTTATGCTTAGCCTTCGCTAAGCCTTACAGCTGTGCTACCTAGCTGTTGTGCTTAGCTTTGCTAAGCCTTATAGTTCTGCAGGCGTTTCCCTATTAGACAACGCATTCGCCCATTTTGTGCTCTAGGGGGGCGGAGTCGGTGGGTACCGTGGCGTTCCCCGGCTCCTCCTATTCAAGCATATAGGGGTTCCAAGCTTGTTTGTTTACGTAGTGGGGGCTACCACCAGGGTTCCATCTAGTCCATTCGTGGACCGTAACAGATTCTCATGATTCGTTCCATCTCGGGTCGCTTAGAACCTATCCAAAGGGTCCCGTATCAGCCCCGACCATAACTTGACCCTGTCCCCCGCAGTTGCCTCTATTCCCCTAAGTATTTAGTCGCACCTCTTCTCTTAGCTTGCTTAGTAGTTTTCTAATATCCTTTGTACAAGGCCTATAGGTGTTAATAAGATTCCTAGGTTATTAAGTCCCCACACACTCCCATATGCCTCTGAGTGGATTCCTACCGCATTCAGACCTGTTATCTTGCCTATGCTGTTACACTTTCTAGGGCATCTATTTCTAGGTGTCTGTATGCAGGTGATTTATAGTGTTTCTTTATTAGGTGCTTCTATCTTTGTTGCAGTATTATTAGAGCTGTTAGTAGTTTGTCTAGTAGTAGTCTATTGTATACTAGGCTATCCTCTGTTTTCTTAAAGATTATAAAGTTCTTTATTACTTTCTAATTTCTTTTTAGGTAATCTAGGCGTTAGCTTAGAGCGTCTATCTAGTAGTTGTTGCGTTTTAATATGTGCTTAATAACAAAATTATATTAGCTTAATTCTTGTAACAGCACAGGCAAGACAATGGGTCCAAATGCGGTGGGAATCCACTCAGAGGCATATGGGAGTGCGTGGGGACTCAGAACCTGGGAATGCTATTAACACCTATAGGCCTTGTATAAAAGGATATCAGAAAACCACTAAGCTAGCTACAGGGGCAAGGTGCGACTAAATACATAAGGGAATAGGGGTAACAGCAGGGGTCGGGGCCAGGTCGGGGTCGGGGCTGATACAGGGGCCTTCCGGGCCATCCGAGATGGAACGATTCATGAGGATCGTTACAATTCTATTACTTATTTTATATGTTTTGTAGGCAAGTCTTTTATTATTATAAAAGTTGTAAGGTTTTTATAGTCTAAGTAGACCTTAAATCTTCTACTTATACTTATTAGTTATACTTCTTATACTCTTAAAGGATCTACTATAGCTTTTAACTTTTTGTCTAGGATGTTAGCTTTTGTTTTCCTTATTAAGAATTTTCTTAAGTAGTTAGCAACTAGATGCTATTGTCTATTCTCTTGTTTTTAGTATAAAGTTACTTCTTTAGCTTAGTTACAAGCGTCTATGCTAATTTTAGTTTTAAAGTTTAGATTATACATTTTTATAACTAGCCTACTAGTTACTTTTGTTAAAGGCTTTTAAATGCTTTGCTTATTTTTAGTGTTTAAATACACTTTTTCTAGGTTCTTTCTTTTATAGTTACATCTGTAAGTAGAAGGGCTATTTTAGAGTAGTCTTTTATTAGGCTGCGTACATATTTAGTAAGGCGAAGAAATCCTTAGATTCCTTTAAAATTTATAAGTTTTAGCTATTAAGTTACTACTTTAACCTTATTTAAGTCTATTTTTATTTCTTGTCTGTTTATAATAAACTCTAGGTATTGTGTTTTTTAGATATTAAATTTACATTTACTTAGCTGTAGGTGTAATCTATATTTTCTTAGTTAGTCTAGGACTAGCTTAACTTTAGCTATGTAGTCTACCTTATTTTTTTTAATGTAAATTAGGATGTTGTCTAGGTATACTATTATAAAAATGTCTAAGTATTTATTTAAAGCTGTGTTTATTACTCTCTAGAATATAGCTAGTGCGTTTATTAGCCTAAAAAGCATAGCTATTATTTTATAAAGTCTCTATAGTGTGTAGAAGGTTGTAAGTAGTTTGCGTCTTTTTTTAATTCTTATTTTATTACAGCTGTTTTGTATATTAAACTTTATAAAATGCTTTATTTCTTAGAGTTAATCTATTATATCTTAGATTATTAAAAGTAAGTGTTAGTTTTTTATAGTATTTTTGTAACGGCGCAGGCAAGACAATGGGTCCGAATGCGGTGGGAGTCCACTCAGAGGCATATGGGAGTGCGTGGGGACTCTGAACCTGGGAATGCCATTGACACCTATAGGCCTTGTACGAAAGGATATCAGAAAACTACCGAGCTAGCTACAGGGGCGAGGTGCGACTAAATACATGAGGGAATAGGGGTAACAGCAGGGGTCGGGGCCAGGTCGAGGTCGGGGCCGATACGAGGGCCTTCCGGAGGTTCCGAGCGACTCGAGATGGAACGATTCATGAGGATTGTTACAATTTTTATTTAAGTTTTAAAAATCTTTGTAAATTCTTAGGTTACTATTCTTTTTTAAGGCAAATACTAGTGCTGCCACGTGGCTAGCTTTGCTTGTACGTATGTGCTGTTGTAATAACATAGTGTTTGTATAGAGTTTTAAAGCCTTTTTTATACTCTTATTAGTGCTCTAGGCTTATAAGTGTTTAGTTTTAGTTTTAGTATAAAGTTTATTATATAATTCTAGGGTTAATAAAGTAAGAGCTCTATTAGGTTTTCTAGAGTTTTAAACATGTTCTTATATTTGCTGTATTCTTCTAGAAGGGTTTCTAACTCTATAAGGTTAATTAGTTCTATTTAGTGTATGTCTTTACTACTAAGGATTTCTTCTACTAAGGTTTTTTTATAATTTTTTATATTTATTAAATGTTTCTTACTGTTTATTTTTAGTAAGAGAATTTTTTTTATTCTTAGTTTTTTAAGTTTCTAGAACAAGTTTTCTTTAGAGAAGGCATGTAACACACATTTAGATTCTAGAGTATAGTTAGTCTATTTTGTTATTTTTAAAAGTTTAATAACTATTTTTTTTAGTTAATAGTAAAGTTATGCTGTCTTAGCTAGTTAAAGCTTATTATTACTTAGTATTTATCTTCTAGAGGAAGGATACTTAGAGAGCGTTAGTCTATTATAGTTTCTATAACAAAGTTTACCTTATTAGTTTCTAGCTTAACCTATCCTCTACTAAATTCTATTAATAAGGTGTTAGCTAGAGATAATTTAAATAGGTTCTTTTTTACTCTAAAAAGTATGTTATATTTCTTAACTTATATAGAGTTTAGTGCTGTAAATGTACATCTGCTGTTTATAAAAGCAACACTAGAGTGTCTGTGTATAGTAAATTTTATAGTAAGACTTCTTCCTAGTTCTTATTCTATTACTATAAGTACTCTTATATTATTATATATTTCTTTATACTTAAGCGTGTTACTGTTTTTATAGTTAAAGTAGAGTATATTTTAGAGTTCTGTTTATCTATATTATTAATACTCTTTTATTATGTAGTATTTAGTAGTGTAGTCTTTATCTTTAATTCTTTTATAATAAAGGAGTTAGTTATTTTACTTTTAGGCTCTTTATTCAAAGTAATAAAAGGCGAATTTTATGTAGAAGTTGCATTCTGTCTATAGTATTTGTGTGAAGCTATGTGAGGCACCAGAGACACGAGGAACTGCATTGAAATGTATTGCTAGAGGAGTCCTTTGCAGGAGTCTATATATATGCGAAATAAGTGGGTGGGTCTTGGCAACAGACTATGGTGCTGATGCATCTGCCGATGCATCCGACCATCGTGTGACGACACATCCGACAGATCCGACTATCGTGTGACTATGCTGACGATGCATCCGAGTGTCATCATTGCAAACAATTTGTTTATGTTAAGGGGCTATGCTGCAGTGTGTGCATTCTAGGGTTTTATATGTAGTAGCCTATTCTTCTATCTCATCTGTTTTCTTTCCTTAGAGGGTGCTGCCTAAGGGCTACTATCCTGCTTAGTGTTTAGTAGGCTAGTAGTTTTAGCAGTATTTGTTTATGCAGAGGTACTATGTAGCTAGGCACTTGTCTATAGTAGTTTTTACTACTATAAGTTATTACTACTTCTACTATAAATATTCTTAGGTTTTTATTATTTAGATTAAATAGTTTTCACATTAGCTTTTATTTTCTTAATATTATTAGCTTTTATACAGAATGTATTTTTATTTTATTTTATGTTATTAGTTTCTTTCTTAGGATAGCTATTAATAGAGGCAGCATGTTTACCTTTTTTTTACTTAAAAAGAGAACTTTAAACTTGTCTAAGAACTTTTTAAGTTCTGAATTTTAGTTTACTATATTTTAAAAGAAGTTCTAACAGTTCTTTTCTATTAGCATATAGTACTAGACTTTAGCTATTAGAGAGACAACTGTGTATAATTTAGCGTTGTTTCCTACTAATACTTAGTAAAAAGGTGTGTTGTAATGTTATAGTTTATACTCTTTTAAGCATATCTAGCATGTTTTTATAAAAATCTTTAAGCTATTTCTCTTGCTAAAGTTCTATATATTTAGTTTTTAAAAGAGAACTGTTTTTTTAGTATGTTTTCTATGTATGCTATAGTTTATACTGTTATTTAATAGCCTTTGTAAACTGCAGCCTATTGTAAGGCCTAATACAAGTTATAGATGTTATAAACTTCCACCTTCTAGTAGTTCTTAAAGCATTAGGTAGAATTATAATTTTCTTTACATCTCTTATAGGATTTTTAGTTAAGTTGTTTTTTAATATTAGTTAAAGTTAACTTTATTTTTATGCTTAAAGCCTTTATAGTTACTAAAGTATTTTTATTCTTTTTTTTTTTAAAAAGTCTAAGTAATTTTGTTAGAAGTAGCTTACTTTTCTATAGTTAAAACAGGCTTTTCTTTTATAGCACTTTTTTTTAAGTATAAAGAGTTTTTTTTCTTATTTTTTTTTAGAACACTGTTTTCTTTGCTTCTTTTTTATAGCTTTAATTTTGCTAAAGTCTATTAGCTTTTTATTATAAAGCTATTTTTTTTTTAGTTTTATAGTAAAAGTAGTCTTTTATTCTTTGTCTTCTCTTTTCTTTTCTAATTCTTCTTTGCAGAGATAGTTATTATATAAAGTTATAGCTTTTATAAATTTAACTAGTTTTTCTAGTTTTTCTTTTTAAAAGAATTTATCTTTTATAGAGTCTCTAAGTTCTTTATAGAATATTTTACATAAGGCTTTTTAGTCTATCTATTTACACTAGGCCTAGTATTCTTAAAACCTAGCTATGTAGGATTAGACTAAGCTTTTTTTTATTAAAGATTATGTATTTTATTTACTGCTAAGTTCTTTTTATTAGCTAAGCTATAAATAGCTATTAAAGCTTCTTTAAATAATTATATAGTAGTAAATATATTTTAGGTTTCTTTTAGTAGTAGTTAGCCATAGACTTAGTAGCTTCTTTAATAGTCTACGTAAAGTTAAAACTATACTGCTAGGTGTCTATCTAACAGTAGTTCTATCTACTAGATTATTTTGTAGTCTGTTTTAAATGCTTCTAGATTATAGTTTATATATAAGTAGCATTATATAAAGAATAATAATTAAAGTGTGTATATAGCGTAACATATATACAAGTAATAAAGTGTTTATTTAATAAAATAAGTAAGGCTACTTATTTTTATAGTAATGATAAAACTAAACTTTAATTACAACTCTTTAGCTATAGTTAAAGTTAAGACTATATACTAAAGTTCTAATTATAGTGTTTGTAGTAAGTGCAGATCTATTCTGTGTTTACTACAATTGTTGCGATCACGCTATTACTAATTAGTCTTCTAGGGCCTAATACTTCTAGTTGGCTCTTGCTAGGCTTACACTACATTGCTAAGAGAGCTGTCCACCACTAATATTCGTAGGATTCCAATGCCGTCCGACACTCGCTTACAGCCCTATCCTAGGTCGTAACAATTGTAACAATATATACAGTTTATTATATAAGCATATAACGTACTTCACAGGCAAGTTGCTTATACCTAAGTTACTTACTTTTACTAAGACCTAACTAAACTACTCTTTTTACACTAATGCGTTTCTAATAACACTACTTAGATATGCTAAAAAAATATTAAATATAGCCTACACTTTAAGCTTTTAAATACAAGATAATACTTTTAAAGTAATATATATACTATAGCTATATATAAAGATTTTTAAAAAATAATAAACAACTAATATACTAAATAACTTTTCGCGTACAGCTATCCATCTATATATATCCTTCTGCTGTGCTGGCTAGGAGGTTAACCTTTTAGCAAACGTAACATTAACTAGCTTATAAAAGTTATTTAGTATATTAGTTATTTATTATTTTTTAAAAACCTTTATATCTAGCTATAGTATATTACTTTAAAAGTGTTATGTTTTATTTAAAAGCTAAAGTATAAGCTATATTTAATATTCTTTTAGTATATTTAAGTAGTGTTATTAGAAATGCATTAGTGTAGAAAAAGTAGTTTAGTAGAGTCTTAGTAAAAGGAAGTAACTTAGGTGTGTAAGCAACTTGCTTGTAAAGTATGTTACAGCTTTACTAGACTTTATAAAATTATTTTAATAATGTTAATTAAGAAACACTAAACTTTTTTGCTATCTAAGTAATATTATGTTTTTTACCTAGCTTTAGTAATTTAAGTGCGGTTAGCGCAGCTAAAATTAGATCTATATTAGTAGAGTTAGAGTTATGTTGAAATTTTGGATTTTCGGAAGCAAGTGTGCGCCAGGTGAAAGCGTGCGTCAGATACCTACGCTACGGAATTCTCCATCCTATTCCATCTAAGCGTCTCGGAATTTGCCTTCAACATTTGAGTTCTCCGCTCCGCAGCGCCCGACTTCCCCGGATTCGCGAAACATTCCCCATGAAACAAAAGCCGCCGAGTTCGGCTGTCCCTTCACTTTTCCTCCTCAGCCGGAGGGATTCCGGCATCGTTCTATTCGCTGTATGCTGTCTTCTCGAGAATCCGTTGAGACGCCTTAGCCTAAGGTCTAGCGTTTCGGGCCCGTCGGAGAATGTTGACGTCTGCCTCACCAAAAATCACCACATTGCTCAAAGGACGAATAGGAATGCGGCGCTTCTTAGGTATCTCGCACTCCACGCGCTATTCCCTTGATTCCGTCGGACATCCTTACATCTCTGGAACGTGCCAGTCACAATAGGCCGCTTCGAACCGACATCTAGGTGTAAAACTCTTCCCAATCAGAAATGGTTGATGTATTCTTCTCATGCCCACAAACCCCGAACGCTAAAAAGATGAGTTGGGTATCAGGCCACGAGTTTCAAGCCATTAAATTCGTCTGCCGAAGTATCGTTATTATGGAGTTATAACAAGGGCCGGTCGCTTCAACTTTCGGTGTGAACTCCAGGACCTGCGATTGGAAGTCGATCATAAATATATAATCTAACGATGGGAGCGTTTAAGGAACTTTTGGTCCATACCTCCTTCAATGGCTCTCAATTCGCGTCCAGTCAGCCCGCCCAGCACCCCGATGGCTCCTACTCCTTCCATCCCACGCGATCCGGAGAGGGCAAGGGTAGAACGCCTGAGGCCTAACTCCTTCGAGCTGTCCGGCTCAGTCTTTCTTATCGCTGGGGATGGAAAAATTGTCAAGCTTCCGATCCCCTCTGAGAACCCTCATGATCCACTCAATTGGAGCTGGAGGAAGCGCGGGTTATCTCTGCTCTCAGCCGGCTTGTTTGCCTACATCGGGACTGTCCTCACGCAAGGCGCTAGCTTGGCTCTGAAAGGCCTCGAGGCCTCGTTCCCACTAAAGGTAAGCCATTGACTTCTTGCTAACGATTGATATTTCAACATTGACTAACGGACAGCATAGGAGCAGATGTTTCCGTTCACGATCGAAACTTTGGTTACCGCCCCTACAGTACTAATGGGTCTGGGCGCTTTCCTGTGGATTCCGTTGACGTTTGCTCTCGGTCGGCGGCCCGTATTTATCATTGCAGCCTTTCTACAAGTTGCTGCAGCACTGGGCGCATCGGCCTCAAAGAGCTATTACGAGCTCTTAGCATGCGTGTCATTGCTTGGATTTGCCGATGGTTTTGGCCTCAGTGTTGTCAGTTGTCCCCAACCTTGTGTTTGAAATACCATTAATGATGTAGTTGTTTCTAATCGTCATCGACGTAACCTTTATTCACCAGCGGCCCAGGGCTATTGCTGCAGTCTGGTCAACGGTTGGGGGTTATGGCGTCATTTCCCTTTCATGCGTTCCACCTTTGACAAATCATGGAACTCAGTGGCGCCGCTTTTATATATACTGGTCCATACCCGCTGCCATTACCTTCGTCATGGCTCTTCTCGTCTTCCCCGAGACATACTTCAAGAGGCCGACTGTGGCCTATAATGGCCTCACCATTCAGCAAACCGCCTCGGAGAGAATCATCATCTACGAGGACGACAACATCAACCAGAGCGATGATTGGTCTAACAAAGGACTTCCCCACACTCCTTCTCGATCCTGGATACGCGCATTCGTAGACCAATACTTCTTCTCTCGAAGCACAACAACGTCCTGGATGTCCATGCTCTATTGCTACCCCCAAATCTTTTTCTGTTCCCTGAACCCTCTTATCTTTTGGGTTGTGATCATGACGGCCGTAAATTTTGCTGGCATGATGTTCATTGGCGCAACATTTCCCATAATCCTAACCTCACCTCCGTACTCGCTCAAATCCTCTATCGTCATGGTCAGCAATTCGGCTGGTATCGGTGGGCTCCTTGCATGGCCTTCCGTGGAATTCCTTTCCTGCTTCGTTTTGAAGAATTTGGCACGAAGAAATAAGGGAATTCGAGAGGCCGAACACTACCTCGTCTGCTACATCCTACCGGTTGTCACAGGCTCTCTCAGCACCCTCATTTATGGGCTCGCAGTTAGCAGGCAGTGGAGCTTTCCAATTTATTGCATTGCTTATGGCTTTAATGGGTTTAGCTTCGCATCTCTTGCAATCGCTAACACCCTATGGGTTACAGAAGCATTCCCCCGATGGGCTGCACCGGCACTTGTTGTTGTAGGTGGTGGAAGCTATGTTGCCAGTTTCTTAATCAGCCTCGCGCTCGTCCCCTGGATTGCAACTCAAGGGTATCTCATTGTCGGTATCGAGTTGGCCGGTCTTCAGATTGTCTCGGGTCTCATTCTTACACCAATTGCCTTCTGGGGAAAGGATCTACGGCAAAAGATTCACGGGAGGTGGGCAGAGCGGAGGGACGGTGCTTTGAGGCCCTTGTAGCGGTGCTTCCGGTGTCTCAGTTGGTGTAAAGAAAAGATAGGCCGACTTTTCCCACATTCTCGACCCTCCTCCCGTTCCCCCATTGCGTGCCTTCCATCCATCCCCCAGTCCGCCATACAGCCAATAGAGGAAGGCTGTGGTTGTACTGCGTTGGGGCGAACAGTTGCGGTATCTAGCCCTACGCCAAAATAAGAGGGTGACGAACGTCCACGGAAGAGGGGTAGAGGACGTTGTATGGTGCATTCGTTCCTGTGTTGCTAGTGCTTGAGATCTTTCGAGACGTTGTCACTGGTGCTCAATTCTTCCAGGCAGCAGGTTTGTCATTCGCATTCGTTTATTGGGATTAGAAGTAAGAGAGCATTTCACTCAGCTAAATCGCAACATGCATCTAACTCGTATATATTTTGGCTAGGCCACTTCTGTGAAGCTCTTGGTAGAAGCAGAGATCAGGAACTGTATTGGTTGCTAAAGTAGTGTAACTACCTAAGGGTCTATATGTAAGAAGTATCGAGGAGGAATCACAAGGCACAGAGAGGTAATGCAGGATAGGGGGTGTAATGAGAGTAAACCTGAGGGTCGGAGGCAGAGGTACGGAGGCCGAGGAGCCCATAAACCCCGTTCTAAGCCTAGGGTACTCACGGGTCGGATAGCTGTAACATAACCGTGACATTATATATATATATATATATATATACAAGAAAAGAGGTTAGTCTTAGCAACATAAGACTAATGTATACGCTATGTAACTACTATAAAACAGTTTTAGGAAATACTTTCTACAAGTTATAGTAGAAGAGGTTCTTAACTTAGGTTAAAGGCTCTAGAATTAGGTAGAATAGGTAAAGTTAAGTAGTAGAATAGAGAATTTCGCATAAGATAAGAAGAGGTTATAGAGTAGGCGAGTTAACAAGGTATTAAGATCTAAACAAGGCGAGTTAAACTAGTGTATTATAAGGTCTAAGAAGCTTAAGAGAGGTTTAGGCTAACTATATACTATATAAGAAAGAAACTAGTTCTAATAAGTAAAAAGAGTACCTGCCTTTTAAGCGCTGTGTACTACAGTTTTTATACTTAGACTAGTATATGTTTTTTTCTAAAACATAGTTTTAGAAGAACTATTCTCTTTTAAAGACTATCTATAAGTTAAAGTCTTTATACATAGCTTTATTAATTACTCTAAACGCTTTTAGAGTGTTCTATACTTTTACTTTATAGTAGTTTTTCTTACACTACACTAGTGCATAGTGTAGTAATTTGTATAGCTAACAGGTAACTTTATTTATTTAAGTATAAAGCTTATATGCTGTTGCCTCTTTAAGCTTTAGGCTAAAAGAAAAAAGTTTTTTTTCTTTAACTATAAATATTATATATAAACACTTCTATGTTGCTTATCTTTTTTTTATCTTTTATATATTACTACTTTCTTAAGCGCTTGCTTAGAGTACATGTTATATATAAGTTACACCTTCTAATACTATAGTGTGTAGTTTTAGCTATTATAGTTACCTCTACATCGCTAGTAAAGTCCTTAGTCTATTTGTTCTAAAACCTATTAGCTTACTAATCTCTTTAAGTTTATAACTACTATTCTAGCGTTTCTCTTATAGAATTAGCCTAGTTTATTCTTTAACTATCTAAGTAGTTGTTTTAGTAATGTTTCTTTTTACATTATAAGTATACTTTATTTTTTAATTATTATTTTTTAGTTTATTACTATTAGCATTTATTTTTACTTGCTTATTACTTTTTAGCTTTACTTAAGTTTATAAAAAAATTATTATAAAGTTTTAGTCATTACATTACTAAGCTTCTATTCTTTTTTTTAGAAATGAGTTAAAACTATTTATTATCTATCTAAGTAGCCTACTCTACTAGTAGTTTAAGTATTTTATGTTAGTCTATATAGCTTAAATTATTCTTAATATTATTTTTAAAGCCTTAGTAGTATGCTTTACATAGTAACTTATTATTAAATTATTTTACTTATACTTATAAAATTTTAAACTATGCTATGTAGTCTTTAACTATTTTATTTTATTTAAACTTAAATAGCTTTTATGCTATAATCTTTACTTAGCCTACTATACTATACATTATAGTTAGTGCTTCTTGAAACTTATTAAGGCTAGAAAATATTTTTACTATCTTTTCACTTAGCACTTTTTCTTTTACTATTATTAATCTAATCTTTACTCTATACTTTAAAATTAGCTTTAGATTCTTTAGCTAAGTTGATTTTTATCTATAGAATATAATTCTATTCTTTAAGGAAAGCTTTTTAATAATATTCTATATAGATTTTATATTTTATAAAGAATACTATTAGTTTTACTAAATCTTCTACCTACAAACTTTATAATTAGTAGTAGTTAAATATACTTTTATACTTACTTATATTCTTTTTTATTTTTAACCTACTATATAGTACTTAGAACTGTTTACAGCTTGCTTATTTAGTTATTTTTTATAGTGTTATTTTTAGCTATAGCATTGTACAGCTCTACTATCTTTTTGTCTAGCTTTACTAGCTGTTCTATAAGCTGTTATTCTCTATATATTAGCATTCTAAAAGAAAAGTTCTTTTATACTACATCTTTTATAAGCTTATTATAAAGTTAGTAAATAAAACTAATTTGTTTTATTACTTAAGCGTTGCTTATAATTATCCGCCTATATATACCTGTTACAATCTCTACTGCTAGGGACTTTAATGTCTAGGGCGAGCACTCCTAGCTAAGGGGAATTTAGGGAGTCGGAGTCAAGGACTCGTAACGACACAGGTGTACAGTCTAGGCAGAACGAGTTTAGGGTTAGAGAATTAGAGCTAATTGTAGTTTGCCCTTGCAACAGCAGTATAAGGTGCTTAGGTTAAACAGTCTGTAGGACAAGATTAGAGGTATATATAGTATAAGATTTACAACTAGTATTATGCTTATTAAAAAGTGGTAATGCTACTTAGTCTATATAACAGATAAACTAAACATTAATTACACCTCCTCTAGGTAGTTCCTTAGCGTAGCTATGTACCTATAGTTGTGCTAGGCAATTACAAGTAATTACAGGTAATTGCAAGCAATTGCAGGTGTTTTTATACATTTGCAGCAAGACGCTGCGCGCAATTACGCTCCTTTGCTGTCCCCTACTAGAGGACACATTCGCCTACAGTTAGGGCTGCCTAGGTGGGCTGTTCTTTGTCTGTTAGGTCACGTAATCTGTTTCTTAGAGGGGTGACCTAGGGACTCTATCCCTGCTTGTTTAAATAGTGGGGCACTTCTTAGAGGTAGTCTACTGTCCAACTATAGACTGTAACATGCAGGCCTCTCTCTCTAACAGCGTCCATACTGCTCTGCCTACACTGTTGCAAGTGTTAGAGTTATTCTATATCTAGTAGGTAGCTTTTAATAAATGCTTTTCTAATATCTATTCTTTTTAGTTCTAATAATGCTTTATTAGTCTATGTATGTTTATTAATTTTACACTGCTGCTTACCTTAACCTAGTTTATTATATAAAGATGTATCTTTCTAGTTCTTACTATTTTTCTAGTTTTTTCTACATCTTAACCTTATTATTAGATAAGTGTATAGAGTGTGTATAAAAAAAGTTACTACAACACCTTTATTTCTAATGCAGTGTAAGAGTGTTTAGAGAGAGGGAGGGGGAACAGGTGCTTTAAAAGATAAAAAATGCTTATGCCTAATAAGAGGCAATTCTTAAACACTAGGCTTATAAGGCTGTAGAGGCTTTTTATAGCGCTATAAAAGCTTTTAAACTGCTTTAAGCAGCGTAAGCCTAGAAGTCTTATTTATAAAAGTAGCTAAACCTTTTAAAAAATTAAAAAGTAAAGTACTTAAAAAATACTTATTATTCTTAAACAAGATTAAAGCAGTAGAGGTAGAGGCTTAAGAGTTGTTTCTCTCTTAGCTAGCTATACTAGGTTCTTGTTTTCCTACATTATAGCTACTTAATGTTGTTGTAGTGTTTTTCTTAACTAGTAGTAATCTTTTTTAGTTTAGTAAACTTTCTCTAGGCTAGTTCTAGTTAAAAGAGACACTTAGTAATTCTAAAGAAGTTATAGAGTGTTTATTAAGTTTTTAATAAGTTTTTATATATTTCTACTAGTAAGCTCTCTTTTTTATTTTATAAAAACTTTTTTTTATATTAATTATATATTAAACTTTAATATCTCTTTTGCTTATTATTAATAAAAGTATGTATTTTAAGGCTTTTTTAAAGCTTAGAGATATAAAACTAAAAGTAGATATATATATTTTTTAAAAGTTTAGGCTTACAATTATCTTTTTATATTTAAAGTACTTTATATAGTCTAATGTGTTTCTCTACTAGTTTCTTTAATAGATAGAACGTTTAAAGGTTTTTTATTTTAAAATACACATAATCTTTAAAGTAAATTATAGGCTTTTAAACTTATAATTTATTTACTTACTATTTTAATTTTTTTTTAGCTTTTTTATACTTCTTTTACTAACTTTTAGTGTAGTTTCTATAACTAATTTATTTTTAAGACTAACTCTAAAGGATTTGTTAGCTAGAAGCTGTAAAAAGAGAAGTAAAAGTTATAGCTAAAGTTAGCCTAATATAGTGTTTCTTTTGTTATAGCTAATTTTACTATGTTAATTACTAGCTAGACTATTAGAAGCTATTTAGCCTAGTTTGTTTAATTAAAGAACATATATTTTCTTAGATACTTCTTAATCTCTACATTTACCTATTTAGCTTGCCTATCTATCTAGAGGTAATAGGCTGTAAATAGCCTATGTTCTATGCCTATTTACTTTACTATAGCTTTTTAGACGTTGCTTATAAATAATTTATCTCTATTAAAGACTATAATAAATAAGCACTTATAAACTAATACTATGTTTTGCATTAGTTTATAGGTAAATTGTTTAGTTATTTTTTTAAAGGCTATATATATAGAAACTTAGTTGTTTTGTCTAGTGTTACTATAATTATATTATAAAGTCTTTCTGTGCCTAGCTCTCTTAAAGAGGAAAGTTCTATAATAAAATCTATTATTATTATAGTCTAGAGTTATTTAGAAGCCTTAATTGCCTAGAGATAGCTATAAGTTTTATAGCACTTTAAGTTATTTTTATTATAAGTGTTATATTTTTATAGAATCTCTATGCACAGCTATTTTAGTTTTAGTATTATTTTTAGCAGAGCTTGCTCTGCTTATTATATTTAGGTTTGCAGAACAAAAAGTTGAGCAGAATCTCCTCTTTTAGACGCGCTAATTAGTTAGAATTTCTTTAGATAAACCCTAGTAACGCTATTTCTCTGTCACCTTATGTATTTCTTATATTTTTTTTTAAAAAAAACGTATACCTAATATAAGTGCACCTTTCTATTAATTTGCACACAGTTTGCTCTAGCATGCGTTGTGTAAAACATGTTTAAAGTATAGTTAGTTGCGTCTGTTCCGCCTCTCTAGCCACATCGGTGTGTCGGGGATTAGCATCAGCCACATTAGTGTGTTGGGAATTGGCATCAGCCACATCGGTGTGTCGGGGATTGGCATCGGTGTGTTAGGGATTGGCAGTTGCTCACACACCTGAGTTGCTCACTGTCAGATTGAAGCACTGTTTCTAGGCTTCCTGAGATGAATGAGGGGTTTGGATACAATGTATGGGATGATGATTGATTGTATTGTTTATTTGATGCTTTTTGTGCTCTGCTCGTGTTGCTCGGCTTTTGTTTTTCCGGTCCGAGTCCC